GTCTTATAGTTTTCTGCATACAGGTCTTTTGTCTCTCTAGGCAGGTTTATGCCTAGGTATTTTATTCTTTTTGTTGCAATGGTAAATGGGAGTGTTTCCTTAATTTCTCTTTCAGATTTTTCATCATTAGTGTACAGGAATGCCAGAGAGTTCTGTGCATTAATTTTGTATCCTGCAACTTTACCAAATTCACTGATTAGCTCTAGTAGTTTTCTGGTGGCATCTTTAGGATTCTCTATGTATAGTATCATGTCATCTGCAAACAGGGACCGTTTTATTTCTTCTTTTCCAATTTGTATTCCTTTTATTTCATTTTCTTCTCTGGTTGCCATGGCTAGGACTACCAAAACTATGTTGAATAATAGTGGTGAGAGTGGGCATCCTTGTCTTGTTCCTGATCTTAGAGGAAATGCTTTCAGTTTTTCACCATTGAGAATCATGTTTGCTGTGGGTTTGTCATATATGGCCTTTATTATGTTCAGGTAGGTTCCCTCTATGCCCACTTTCTGGAGAGTTTTTATCATAAATAGGTGTTGAATTTTGTCAAAAGCTTTTTCTGCATGTGTTGAGATGATCATAAAGTTTTTATTCCTCAAATTCTTAATATGGTGTATCACATTGATTGATTTGCATATATTGAAGAATCCTTGCATTCCTGGGATAAACCCCACTTGATCATGGTGTATGATCCTTTCAATGTGTTGTTGGATTCTGTTTGCTAGTATTTTGCTGAGGATTTTTGCATATATATTCATCAGTGATATTGGTCTGTAATTTTCTTTTTTTGTAGTATCTTTGTCTGGTTTTGGTATCAGGGTGATGGTCGCCTCATAGAATGAGCTTGGGAGTGTTCCCTCCTCTGCAATATTTTGGAAGAGTTTGAGAAGGTTGGGTGTTAGCTCTCTTCTAAATGATTGATAGAATTCACCTGTGAAGCCATCTGGTCCTGGACTTTTGCTTGTTGGAAGATTTTTACTCAGAGTTTCAATTTCATTACTTGTGATTGGTCTGTTCATATTTTCTATTTCTTCCTGGTTCACTCTTGGAAGGTTATACCTTTCTAAGAATTTGTCCATTTCTTCCAGGTTGTCCATTTTATTGGCATAGAGTTGCTTGTAGTAGTCTCTTAGGATGATTTGTATTTCTGCAGTGTCTGTTGTAACTTCTCCATTTCCATTTCTAATTTTATTTATTTCAGTCCTCTCCCTCTTTTTCTTGATGAGTCTGGCTAATGGTTTATCAATTTTGTTTATCTTCTCAAAGAACCAACTTTTAGTTTTATTGATGTTTGCTTTTGTTTCCTTTGTTTCTATTTCATCTATTTCTGCTTTAATCTTTATGATTTCTTTCCTTCTACTAACTTTGGATTTTGTTTGTTCTTCTTTCTCTAGTTCCTTTAGGTGTAAGGTTAGATTGTTTATTTGAGGTTTTTCTTGTTTCTTGAGGTAGGCTTGTATAGCTATAAACTTCCCTCCTAGAACTGCTTTTGCTGCATTCCATAGGTTTTGGATCGTCGTGTTTTCATTGTCATTTGTCTCTAGGTATTTTTTGATTTCTTCAGTGATCTCTTGGTTATTCAGTAACGTATTGTTTAGCCTCCATGTGTTTGTGTTTTTTACTTTTTTCCCCTGTAACTGATTTCTCATCTCATAGCGTTGTGGTCATAAAAGATGCTTGATATGATTTCAATTTTCTTAAATTTACTGAGGCTTGATTTGTCACCCAAGATGTGATCTATCCTGGAGAATGTTCTGTGCGCACTTCAGAAGTAAGTGTAATCTGCTGGTTTTGGATGGAATGTCCTTTAAATATCAACTAAATCTATGTGCTCTATTGTATCATTTAAAGCTTGTGTTTCCTTATTTTCTGTTTGTATGATCTGTTCATTGGTGTAAGTGAAGTGTTAAAAGTCCCCCACTATTATTGTATAACTGTCGATTTCCTCTTTTATAGCTGTTAGCAGTTGCCTTATGTATTGAGGTGTCCCTATGTTGGGTGCATATATATTTAAAATTGTTATATCTTCTTCTTGGATTGATCCCTTGATCATTATGTAGTGTCATTCCTTGCCTCTTGTCACATTCTTTATTTTAAAGTCTATTTTATCTGGTATGGGTATTGTTACTCCAGCTCTCTTTTGATTTCATTTGCATGGAATATCTTTTTCCAACCCCTCACTTACAGTCTGTATATGTCCCTAGGTCTGAAGTGGGTCTCTTGTAGACAGCATATATATGGGTCTTGTTTTTGTAACCATTCAGCGAGCCTGTGTCTTTTACTTGGAGCATTTAATCCATTCACGTTTAAGGTAATTATTGATATGTATGTTCCTATGACCATTTTCTTAATTGTTATGGGTTTGTTTTTGTAGGTCTTTTTCTTCTCTTGTGTTTCTCACTTGGAGAAGTTCCTTTAACGTTTGTTGTAGAGCTGGTTTGGTGGTGCTGAATTCTCTTAGCTTTTGATTGTCTGTAAAGCTTTTGATTTCTCTGTCGAATCTGAATGAGATCCTTGTTGGGGACAGTAATCTTGGTTGTAGGTTCTTCCCTTTCATCACTTTAAATATATCATGTCACTCCCTTCTGGCTTGTAGAGTTTCTGGTGAGGAATCAGCTGTTCATCTCATGGGAGTTCCCTTGTATGTTACTTGTCATTTTTCCCTTGTTTTCAACAATTTTTCTTTGTCTTTAATTTTTGCGAATTTGATTACTATGTGTCTTGGCATGTTTCTCCTGGGTTTTTTCTGCCTGGTACTCTCTGTGCTTCCTGGACTTGAGTGGCTATTTCCTTTCCCATGTTAGGGAAGTGTTTGACTATAATCTCTCCAAATATCTTTTTGGGTCCTTTCTCTCTCTTCTCCTTCTGGGACCCCTATAATGCAAATGTTGTTGCATTTAATGTTGCCTCAGAGGTCTCTTAGGCTGTCTTCATTTGTTTTCATTCTTTTTTCTTTATTCTGCTCCATTGCAGTGTACTCCACCAGTCTGTCTTCCAGGTCACTTATCCGTTATTCTGCCTCAGTTATTCTGCTATTGTTCCATTCTAGTGTATTTTTCATTTCAGTTATTGTATCATTCATCTCTGTTTGTTTGTTCTTTAATTATTCTAGGTATTTGTTATTTAATTCTTCTAGGTCTTTGTTAAACTCTTCTTGCATCTTCTCGATCTTTGCCTCCATTCTTTTTCCGAGGTCCTGGATCATCTTCACTATCATTATTCTGAATTCTTTTTCTGGAAGGTTGCCTATCTCTACCTCATTGAGTTGTTTTTCTGGGGTTTTATCTTCTTCCTTCATCTGGTACATAGCCCTCTGTCTTTTCATCTTGTCTATGTTTCTGTGAATGTGGTTTTTTTCCCACAGGCTGCAGGATTGTAGTTCTTCTTGCTTCTGCTGTCTGCCCTCTGGTGGATGAGGCTATCTAAGAGGCTTGTGCAAGTTTCCTGATGGGAGGGACTGGTGGTGGATAGAGCTGGGTGTTGCTCTTGTGGGCAGAACTCAGGAAAACCTTAATCCGCTTGTCTGCTGATGGGTGGGGCTGGGCTCCTTCCCTGTTGGTTGTTTGGCCGGAGGCAACCCAACACAGGAGACTACCTGGCTCTTTGGTGGGGCTGATGGCGGACTCTGGGAGGGCTTACTCCAAGGAGTACTTCCCAGATGTTCTTCTGTCAGTGTCCTTGTCCACATGGTGAGCCACAGCCATCCCCTGCCTCTGCAGGAGACCCTCCAACACTAGCAGGTAGGTCTGGTTCAGTCTCCTATGGGGTCACTGCTCCTTTCCCTGCGTCCCGATGCGACCACTACTTTGTGTGTGCCCTCCAAGAGTGGAGTCTCTGTTTCCCCTAGTCCTGTCAAAATCCTGCAATCAAATCTCGCTAGCCTTCACAGTCTGATTCTCTAGGATTTCCTCCTCCCGTTGCCGGACCCTCAGGTTGGAAAGCCTAATGTTGGGCTCAGAACCTTCACTTCAGTGAGTGGACTTCTGTGGTATAAGCGTTCTCCAGCTTGTGTGTCACCCACCCAGCAGTTACGGGATTTGATTTTATTGTGATTGCTCCCCTCCTACTGCCTCACTGTGGCTTCTCCTTTGTCTTTGGATGTGGGGTATGTCTTTTGGTGAGTTTCAGTGTCTTCCTGTCTATGATTGTTCAGCAGTTAGTTGTGATTCACGTGCTCTCACAAGAAGGAATGAGCGCATGTCCATCTACTCTGCCATCTTGCTCCTGCTTTCCCCTACATAGCTGTATTACTTTTAATATGAAAAAAACCAGGAGAAAGTGTATGTTAATTAACATTTCCTTGTGAAGTGTTATTTTGTGATTTAGACTGTGTGAAAAATAAGTGACAGAAAAGCAAAAAATATGTGACACCTCCTTCACATATTTTCACATCCTGTCAAAACACACAAGGTTTCACTTAGCTGAAACTGTTTCAGAGGAACAATGTCTTTATTTAATCGAATCCTTCAGAATGTATGTGCTGGTGGGGCAGGGGAGAGAGAAAGACAGGGACAGAGGAAGAATATGGGAGGAAAGGGGAGGGGAGAGGACTGAGGGTGGTTGTGGGTTGTAGCTGATGCCTGCAGAATTCTTGGGACAGGGCCTGGCACATGTAGGCACTTAATAAACATCTCTTACTTGTCCATTCCTCTCACACCAAACACCTGGAGCCAGATGAGCTCTGAAATTTGTTGGATTGTAGAAAGGTAACACAGGACATATTCCACATACTACGAAATGCTCCCAGCAGGTATTTATTCAGTGTGTGAATATTCATACTAAGTGGGATCACCTGAGCATTATATGTTTGCCACTAGATGATTGTGTACTTTTATTACTATCTTCATTATTCAGCCCCTCTGAACCTCAGTTTTCTCATCTGCAAATGCTCAGAAATATCCCTTTCTTTCCTGGGAATGAACGTAGGATGCCAGGAAGTCTGCCCCCAACCCCAACCCTCCTGGAAAAGGAGCTGGGCCAACCAGGTCCCACCCAGCTGTGGCGTTCTTATCTTCTTCTGGTCCCAGCTTCACTGCATGGGATTCGTGCAGGATCTCTGCCACCGGCTTGTGGGTGTAAAGTATGGTGACTTGGACCCACTGGACCCAGGATGTGAGGTTAGCCAAGCAAAGGACCAGCCTCAGGTCATGGCCCAGCACGGGCGGCTCCAGCACCTTGAACTTTCCAGTGATGCTGGGCTTATTGGCAGGCTCCAGGAGGTCATCATGCCAGAGACCATGGCTGCCCACACTGTGGACCTGGGCCCTCCTTCCAGAGGCTTCCACTCTTAACAGCTTCTTCATGGTCTTGCTGTACATCTATCTCTCCTTCTGGGATCCTGCAGGGCATCGGACATCATAAGGCAGGCATTCTCTCCTCTGCCACCTGTCCCAGGGCCAGCTCTTCTCATTTTCCCTTTTCTCTAGGTAAAACCACCACTCGATCCCCACTTTAACTTACCATGGCTGTCGGAGGTCTCAAATTGGAAGCTCAAGAGCGATATGCAGACCTCATCCATATGCATTGTGTTTGATTCTGGACTATTTAAATAAAATTTTAATCAGTTGCCAACAACTTCAGGTTAGTAAATTTCACATAACATTATAGATGTGTAGCCCCTCTGACAGCTGGATCTGAAGTCTCATATGATAATGATAGCTGACACTTTTGTAGACTTGCTATATGCCATACACACATATGTATACACACATATGTATACACACACACACACACACACACACACATATATATATTTTTTTTCCTAGGAGGAAGGTACTATATTATCATCCCCATTTTACAGATAAGGAACCCAAGGCACAGAGAAGTAAAGCAACTTGTAAGGGAGCTGGAATTTGAACCCAGGCAGTCTGGCTCCAACTTCTATGTTCTTAATCATGCTCCCTTCCCACTCTCTACATGGCAGTTATGGTCTAGAGCTGAGTAAGGGGTGCTCTCTCTGGAAGGGAGTGTACTTGCTTGTTCTCCATGGTCTCCACCTGTAATTCTCCCACTGGCCTGCTGCACTCATGGCTTGCCATCTGCAAGCTCCTGAAGACATGTGAGTTTAGGAACCCTGATCATCCACTTACCCTGTTGCTAGCACAGACTTCTCTCTCTCTTTTTTGATCTCCAGATCAATACACAACCTGACAGCCCCCACCTCACCCCCAGGATGTTCCACAGGTGCCTCCAACCCAACCAAACATGCCATCTTCTGCCTGGCAGCATTCCCCATTTCAGCAAACAGCTCCACCATTCACCCAATATACAAACTGGAAACTGGATGTGTCCTTGACTCTTCCCTCATCTTTACCACTCACAGCTGATGAGACAGCAAGTTCTGCCAAGCATCCTCATTGATCTCTGGAATCTTCCCCCTTCTCCCATCATTCTTTTCCCCTCATACCACTGTACAAAACGTCTCACCATCAGATCAATTTGCCACCAGGTGACTGTGGACTTTTTCTTACTATTATCATTACCCAGTCCCTCCAAGTCTCAGTTTCCCATCTATGAAGTGAGGAGAAGAGGTGCAAAGGCTAGGCCCCAAGCACAGTGCTCAAGAATGCCCCTCCCTTCCTGAGGATGTGGGCTGCATGCCCCCTCTAGTCCTTTTTCCACCCTGATCCTTCCAAGATCCAACTCTGATAGTTCTGATTCCCTCCTTGAACCCTGTGCTGTGCTGCTTATCAAACGTTCTCCCAAGTACCTCTCTACTGTGTGACCTGGGCTTGAAGGGACACATGTGGACCTAAAGGTTCTTTAACATATCATGTTTTATTATTAAAATGTATGTGAATTGTTCATTCTATTCCATAATGTACTCATAATATATTTTTACTAAGAAAATGTTTCATTTCCCTGCCAAAACTTCTAAAGTCAGTTTCTCAGGGAGGGCTTCTCTGGCCACCTGATTTTTTAAAACAGCTTTATTCAGATATATGATAATTCCATAACAAGCAATCCACCAGTTTAAAGGTTACAAGCCAGTGTTTTTTAGTACATTCACAGAGTCGTGCACTCATCACCACAATCTAATTTCAGAACAATTTCTGTCACCTCAAAGAAACTCTGTAACCATTAGCAGTCACTTCCCGTTCCTCCCTGCCCCACCCATAGCCCTAGGCAACTGTTAATTTAATTTCTAACTTGCCTATTCTGGGCATTTCATATAAAGAGAATCATACAATGTGTGGTTCTTTGCGACTGGCTTTTTTTTCACTTAACATAATATTTTTAGGGTTCATTTATGTTGTAGCATACATCAGTACTTGATTCCTTTTTATTGCTAAATAATACTCCATTGTATGGACAGACCACATTTTATTTATCCACTGACGGATGTTAGGGTTGTTTCCACTCTAGCTATTTTGAATAATGTTGCTATGAAGGTTCATGTACAAGTTTTTGGGTGGATGTTTTTTTTTCATTTCTTTTGGGTGTATACCTAGAAGTGCATCTGCTAGGTTGTTATGTTAACTCTGTGTTTAACATTGTGAGGAAGTGTCAAAGAGCTTGCACCATTTTACATTCCCACCAGCAATGTACGAGTGTTCCAATTGCTCCACAATCTCACCAACTCTTATTGTCTGTCTTTTTGCTTATAGCAGTTCTAGTGGATATGAAGTGGTATGTTGTTGTGGTTTTGATTTGCATTTCCCTGATGATTAATGATGCTAAGCACCTTTTCATGTTTATTGGTCATTTGTATATTGTCCTTGGAGAAAGGCCTTTCAAATCCTTTGCCCATTTAAAAATTGGGTTATTTATCTATTTATTACTGAGCTATAAGAATTATTTATATATTATGGATACAAGTCCCTTATTAGATACATGATTTGCAAATATTCTCTGTTCTGTGGGCTTTTCTTCTTTCTTGATGGTATCATTTGTAGTACAAGTTTTTAATTTTGATGAAGTCTGATTTATCAATTTTTTCTTCTGTCATTTATGCTCTTGATGTCATATCCAAAAAGGTTCTGTTTAACTCAAGCTCATGAAGATTAACTCCTGTTTTCTTCTAAAAGCTTGTAATTTTAGCTCTTCGATATAGGTCAATGATCCATTTGAGTTAATTTTTGTGTACTGTGTGATGTAGGAGGCCCATTTTATTCTGTGCATGTGGATAATTAGTGGTCCCAGCACCATCTGTTGAAAAGACTGTTCTCATTCTTTCCCCACTGAATTGTCTTGGCACACTTGTCAAATTCAATTAAACATAATTTTAAGAGTTTATTTCTGGATTCTATTTCATTGATCTATATGTCCATTCTTATGCCAGTATCACACTATCTGGGTTATTGTATATTTATAGTAAGTTTTGAATTTGGGAAGTTTGAGCCCTCCAACTTTGTTCTTCTTTTCCAAGATTGTTTTGGCTATTCTGGTTTCCTTGAATTTCCAAGTGAATTTTAGGAACAGCTTGTCAATTTTGGAAAAAACTTAGCTGGAACTTTGATAGGGGTTTCATGGATTCTGTAGGTCAATTTTGGGGCATTGCCACCTTAAAAAAATAAAGTCTTTCAATCCATGAAAATGGGATGTCTTTCCATTTACTGAAGTCTTTAATTTCTTTCAACAATGTTTTGTAGTTTTCAGTGTACTAGACTTGCTCTTTTTTTGTTAAATTTATTGTTAAGTATTTTATTATTTTTGATGCTATTGTAAATGGATTTGTTTTCTTAATTTTATTATCAGATTATACATTGCTAGTGTCCTGAAATACAATTAATTTTTAAAAATTGATCTTGTGTTCTACAATTTTTCTGAACTCATTTATTGGCTCTAATAACTTTTAGTGGATTCCTTAGGATTTTATATATACAAGATCATATCATGTGCAAATAGAGATAGTTTTACCTCTTCCTTGCAAATCTGGAAATTCTTCTGTTTCTTTACTTTCCCTCCCACCTTCCCCTCCTACATTCCTTCCTTTTCTTTCTTTTACTTTATTTTTTCTTCTTTCTTTTTATTTTTTAAAAAATTATGGTAAAATATACATAATATAAAATTTACCATCTTAACCATTTTTAAGTGTGCACTTCAGTGGCATTAGGTACATTCCTATTGTTGTGCTATCTTCAGCATCATCCATTTCCAGAACTCTTTTCATCTTGCAAAACTGAAACTCCGTGTTCATTAAACAATAACTTCCCATCCCTCTTCTCCCAGCCACTGGCATCCACCATTCTACTTCTTGTCTTTAAGAATTTCACTACTCTAGATACCTCATACAAGTGGAATTGTATGGCATTTGTCCATGTGGGACTGGCTTATTTCATTAGCATCATGCCTTCAAGGCTTCATCCATTTGTAGCATGTGTTAGAATTTCCTTCCTTTTTAAGGTTGAATAATATTCCGTTGTATGTATATACCGCGTTTTGTTTATCCATTCATCTCTTGATGGACACTTGGGTGGCTTCCATGTTTTTTTAGCTATTGTGAATAATGCTGTTATGAACATGGGTGTAATATCTCTTCAAGTCCCTGTTTTCAGTTCTTTTGGATATATATTCAGAAGTGGAATTGCTGGATTATCTGATAATTATATTTTTAATATTATGAAGAACTTCAATACTGTTTTCCGCAGTGGCTGCACCATATAAAAATCCCAGCAACAGTGCACGTGTTCTAATTTCTCCACATCCTTATCAACACTTGTGCTTTTCTTACTTTCTTCTTCCCTCTCCTCCTCCATCCCTTTATTCCTTTCTTCTTTCCTTCCTTCCTGACTTCTTTCCTTCTGTGATAGTAGCCACCCTAATGGTTATGAGGTGGTATCTCATTGTGGTTTTCATTTTCATTTCCATAATGATCAGTGATGTGAGCATATTTTTATGTGCTCATTGGCCATTTGTATACCCTCTTTGGAGAAATGTCTATTCAATCCTTTGCCCATTTTTTTTTTTTTTTTTTGCTGTCGAGTGTTTAGAGTTGTCTATATATTCTGGATATTAACCTCTTTTCAGATACATGATTTGAAAATATTTCCTCCTATTCTACAGGTTTCCTCTGTTGATAATGTCACAAAAGTTTGATGAGGTCCAATTTGTCTTTCTTTATTTACCTTTGCCTTTGGTATCATATCCAAGAAATCACTGCCAAATTCAATGTCATGAAGCTTTTCTCCTATGTTTCCTGTCAAGAGTTTTATAGTTTTAGGTCTTTGATCCACTTTGAGTTAATTTTTGTGTATGGTGTAAGGTAAGGGTCCAAATTCATTCTTTTACATGTTGATATCCAGTTTTCCCAACACTGTCGAAAAGATCTCTATTTTTTTCTTGACTAATTTCCTTGGCTAATACTTCCATCACAATGTTGAACAAAATGGCAATGGTGTACAACA